ATATATATAGTGCTGCGGCACTTGCTAATCAATTTGTATGAACTATTCAGAATGTCACGTGCTGCTGGATCGTTCAATTCACAGAGTTTTCCTTTTTTTTTTGTAATATGGGAATTGTGCCCGTGTAATGTCTCAAGCTACCGTGTGCCATACTCTATCATAAAAGCTCAGCATTGTGGTCCAAACGTTGTTATCAGAGACCTGCTTGTGTTAAATACACGGGTATGTGATTAATGTAGGCGTTTATCCCTACAGTTCGCTCGTGGTTCTGGCTAGCTATTACGGTCGATTGTTTGGTTGTTTAAATTACGTTTGAGAGTCTTCCAACGGGAATGCTGTTTAAGTATCAACCCTAAACCGAAAATCATAGTGTCACGGTTTCAATAGTTTAAAATATAGTTCAAGTTATTTCTGTAGAGAATTTTAGCTTTACTGACACCAGTCGATCATTTATCGATCGTGGGTACGTCAACATTAGATCTGTATGCATCGTCATCGCGAAGATGTGCCGCTTTCGAATATTGTGAATACATGATTCGAGTGTTTGATGTTCCTCACTTCGACTGACCCGGACTATGCCATGTGCTTGGGCAGTATATTTCTCGCAGACTCGTCATTTTGTTGCTGACTTACCAGTGTCCTAACCCCTGCTTGAACGCATGCGTCGAGCCTCTTAAATTCAGCCTGAAGTTACACACGGCGTAATATTAGCATACAAAGCAGGCAAAATTGGAATGTCAAGAGCTGATCATATTTGTCTCGCGTGTATGGGGTTGGAGATTATTGCGCATCTATTGGCCACCAGCATGCATACCTCATGCCGAGTGCGTATGTCCTCGTCGCGGAAGACATTCAACGTCAGTTCGTGAGAATCATACGAGGCGTAATTGCCAAAACGAACCGGAGGAAGCGTTGCAATACATAACATGTACGGTGTGAGCCCAGCCTGTGAATTGTGCGATTGACGTCAGAGCTGGTTTCACTACAGTTTTAACAATAGTCACCAATCGCATCGCATTCGGAGACTGGAAAAGCGAACGTTGAAATGTGACTGAGTCAGCCAACTTACGTCATTTAAAATACGAGCATCCGCTCGATTCTCGAGGAGAAATCGAGAGAGCATGTAGTCCTTGACATAGGCCGCAACATGCAGGGCGGTGTTTCCATCCTAGAGATTACAGACAAAGCCTCAGCTTATATCGAATACACATACAAAGGAAAACAAGCTTACAAGAAACAAAAAAGGAAGTAAGCAACAAGTGATGAAACAACAATGCCGAGTGATTGTAATTTGGGAGGCAGGGTGTCTACAACACCTTGTCTTTAGAATTGATGTCGACCTTCTTTAGCGTACGACGCGCGTCAGCAAGTCGCTCCAGCTTCACAGGACTATAACTTGAAAGATTCGGATCATGATCTCTTACGATCCGATGCAGTGGAGATGGTTCACTACTGTTATCCATGTTCCTATTCAAAAGTAGACGGAGAATCGATGCTTTTAGTAGATATTCTGAAGTTTCATAAGAAGGAAACTGGCTATTTATTGCTAGCTTACAGGAAGCTGATACAATTGTAATATTTTTCAAAATCACATTCGAACACAAAAGATTATTGATAACAAGCGTATTTCACGCATGAAAGCAATCGGAGCGTGTCAAATGTTGGGAGCGATTGACATGATAAGCATTCGAAATCGACATCAGAAAACAGTTTCATTATTAGCGACCCCAACACGTGTTGATTGATCTCTACCAATTAGAAAGTCCATCTAGACTACAGAAATCATGAGTTATGCACCACTAGAAGCACTTTGAAAGCGTGCGAACGACGATCCTTCGCATCCCCAACGGCGCGACGTTCTATCTTGCACGATACTTTCACGGGATTGGACTACAAGGTGAAGTCCGTACACTGATGTGTATTGCCCTTGTGCGGTGGTAATGAATAGCTCCTATACACCAACGCAAAGAGTGACCATATGTAGAGGTCCTATACTTGAACATCGAATCTGTGTTCATGAAGCTCTTCTATACATGGATTTAAATACTATTCTTCCATATTGATCAGTTAGATGTTTTGGTTTCATTTATTGCTTTTAAATGCCGATACTCACAATTCTGGCGAAATCTCAGGCTCTGCATGTGCACCAACTTGTAGGTGTATATCTCACGTAGTATTATGTAAAGCCAAGAAAAAGAAACTGTAAATTATAGTGACTTAACATTATGTGATTTCAGATGATAGTTCAGACCAGACTGCTGTGTAAAGCCTTTGCCACAGCCAGGAAAGTCACACACATAAGGGCGTTCCCCAGTATGCACACGCATATGTACCCTCAGAGTGAGTTGTAAACTTTTGTGCCCTGCGTCCGCTGCTACTAGAAAACTTTTTTCACATCCAGGATATTCACAGGAGTAAGGGCGTTCCAGAGTATGCACACGAATATGTAACTTCAGACCGCTACCAGTAATGAACTTCTTTCCACATCCAGGATATTCACAAGAGCAGTGGCGTTCCCCAGTATGCAAACGCATATGTTCCTCCAGATGGCTTCTCATTTTAAACTTCTTTCCGCAACCAAGATATTCGCAGAGTAGGGGCGCTCGCCGGTATGAATACGCATATGTACCGTCAGATTGAGGGCTTTTGCAAACTTCTTTCCACAACCATGATATTCGCAAGAGTAGGGGCGTTCCACTGTATGCACACGTATATGAACACGTAGTGCACTAGGGAAAGCACAAGCAAAACCACAAGAAGGCCACTCGCACTTATATGCCAATCCGTCAGTATGCTTTGTTCCAAAAGTGCGGAGCGAGCTCAGGTGTGCTGGAATGTTCCTGTTTATTTGAGTTGCTAGGAAATGATAGGTATTCAGTGTGCGATCGAATTGTAAGGTCGATCAAGCGGTGGTTATTTAACAATTGTTTCCCAATTTCTGCTATGAATGTGCAATTTGAACTACTATTTACATGTATGTATTACCACACTAGCCCACACATATGCAATCTGACACTAGGTGATTGACAAGGAACTTGGAATTTTACCTTTAGGATTACACACTCATCGTGCTTTAAGATTGCTTGTCCGAATGACTTCCCTCTACTCTCACAAACAATTGTATCGTTGATCATATTATTAAGGCCACACACTCGCCCTACGACTTTGTTGTTTCCATAACACTATGTGTTGCAACTCAGAGCACGCTCAATAACCTTTCAGATTGTTCGACTTCAGTTAAGCGGCCCCCCAATCATATCGAAAGTCTACTCTGTCTTCGCCTCGATATATGTATATATATATATACACACACACACACACACACA